TTACGATAACCCCAAGCGCAGAAAATCATGGGGAGTTCGCGGCCATGCTTCCACGTCGACGACCAAACCGAATATTCACGGCTCCAAGGTCATGCTCTGCATTTGATGGGACCAGCTCGGCGTAGTGTATTATGAGCTGTTAAAACAGACTGAAACAATCACAGGCGATCGGCATCGAACGCAATTGATGTGTTTAAGCCGAGCATTGAAAAAGACGAACGACCGCCATACAACGAGAGACACGATAAAGTGATTTTGCAGCATGACAATGCTCGACCCCATGTTGCGAAAGTGGTCAAGACATACTTGGAAACGTTGAAATGGGAAGTCCTACCTCACCCGCCGTATTCTCCAGACGTTGCTCTCTCTGACTATCACTAATTGTTTCGATCAATATCACACGGCCTGGCTGACCAGCACTTCCGGTCTTATCAAGAAGTAAAAAATTGGATCGATTCGTGGATCGCCTCAAAGGATGAGGCGATTTTTTCCATCAGTTTTTTCGACACGGGATTCGTACGCTACCCGAAAGATGGGAGAAAGTTGTAGCCAGCGATGGACAATACTTTGAATCATAAATGTATAACCAGTTTTTTACAATAAAGCCTCGAATCTAGGGAAAAAAACGGCGGAAGCAAAGTTGTATACCTAATATATATATACAGGGTGTCCCCCTATATAATATAATATTATATTACTATTACATTATATTACATTATATTACTATTATTATTAAATATATTATTTTATAACACATTTGTAATTGTTAGTTAAAAGTATTTAATATAATAACGTAACATCCCGGGATAACATTAAACTTTGAAAAGATTGACTTTTAAATTTAAAAACTCGTAATTAATTAAAAATGAACTAATTAAAATATAAAATAAACAATTTTCAGGATTTCAGGTTATTTGTTTCTACTTCTTTTTCACTATAATACAATGTTTGTCCTACTTCTTATAAGAGTTCTTAGAAAGATTTCCGATTCATTTAAGAGCCATAATATCACGAATAATCGTTCCGAATTACACATGAAGCGCATAGACTGCATGAACGCATTAGACGCATCAACTGCCTCAAGTTAAAAGAGAAGCAGTCAATGGTTGCGTTCAGCAGACTCGCCTAGTCGCTTTTTTTTAGTAGCCAATAATAAGTATTGGATTATACTTTTAGATTTAAAGGAATAGTCCTATCTCAGTCAAGAATCACAAAACGGTTGCAAAACTGTTTTGTGATTCTTGACTGAGATAGGACTATTCCTTTAAATCTAAAAGTATAATTCAATCAGCGCGACGAATCATAAAACGGTTTCAAAACTGCTGAGTCTGCTGAACGCAGCCATTGCGCTGGGGCTGGGAGGAGTGCTAAGAATTCAGTACGGTTAGTACAATCTGGGGAATTAGTAACACTTTCGAAGCGCGCCATAGCTAATTTGGAACGACTTTCTGTGCGGTCTACGCGCTTCATGCGTGACTCGGAACGCACCCTATGTCACATTAAGTCATTATAGGACAAAATTTGCTTTCAATTGAGTATTTTTTAAGCAGATCGATTAAGGTCGGAATCAGACTATGCATTGAAGATTCAGATTAAAGCTTAAAGATTGAAATTTCACCAATGAGGACAAAGAAATTTTAGTTCCTTTTGTTCTAATTGGTCAAACTTTAATCTTTCAATCTTCAATCTCATTCTTCAATGCGTAGTCTGATTCTGGCCTAAAAGTTTGTCACCCAATTTTTTATTATCGCCCACTTGGTTATCATCGATGTCTTGTATGTCATAATATACTATCGATAATGTACTATCCGTATGGTAATTATTATTACAATAATTGAAATGATCCATTTTTTAAGTTTATCACAATCTACCTAGGAATTGAAATTGGAATTAAAAAGAGGTTATAACCCCGGATCTACAATAGGTGTTTTAAGCCTTAAGCCGTAAGAAATTGACCAATTACAGTCGAATCCGAGAAGAATAAGCGACTGTGATTCGCCCATTTCTTATGGCTTAAGGCTTAAAACCTTATTGTAGATCCGGACTAAACAAAATGAAAAGTCTGAATGCTGATTGGTAGGTTATAAGGCGATAGACACAGAATTCCAACTCGTCGGAAATTTATCGCTATCGCTTTATTCCATGTTCCTAAGTGCATTGACATACGAGGTCTGTTCGCGTTGCATGAAATCCCCAAATATTTTTACACTTAAAATGAGATAGATATATATTTGGCTTTGAAAAAAGAGAAAGCGAAGATGCCAAGTGTAAAAAGTGCGAGCAACGCGAATAGACCTATGGATTCCCATATGTTGGATTCCTCTGTTCCTATCGCTATGGCCCTGCGCACAATAGAAGGAATAATGATACGTTTCCACTGAGCTCGTCACGCGTCGCGTCGTCCATCGTGTCACGACGCAACGCGAAAGAGAGAAAGAGAGAAAGAGAGAAAGAGAGGGGTTGTGTACATATATAAGCTTCATTCTTTTTCTCTTTCACGTCACGTCGTGATGCGATGGACGACGCGACGCGTGACGCGTTCAGTGGAAACGTATAAAGGCCTCTTTCACCAAACCGATTAACTTAATCGGCCGATTAATCCATTGGAATTGATCAATCGCATCTATCGTCGAACAAAATGACAAATGAGATTAGTCAATTCCGATGGACTGATCGATCGATTAAGTTAATCAGAGTTGGTGAAAGAGGCCCTAAGAAATTAGAAATAAAGATTAAACGATTTTAACCTATCAGAAATCGGATACATCGGAATATACGGTTTCTGAAGGTTGAAATTGTTTATTCTTTATTCCTAATTCCTTATTCCTTCTATTATGCGCAGGGCCTATCACTATCGCTATCGCTATTGCCTCACATTGTGTTTAGGCCTTTATTCTCTATTCTCTGTTCCCTGTTCCTTTTATTGTGCGGAGCCCTTTAGAATCGTTTATTCTTTGAGTTTAATTCCTTATTCCTTCTATTGTGCGCAGGGTCTTAAGCCCATGACACACACAAGAACGTAATGGCTGCAGCACACACTCTTGCATAAGTCCGGATCTACAATAGGTGTTTTATGCCTTATGCCGTAAGAAACTGACCAATTACAGTCGAATCCGAGAAGAATAAGCGACTGTGAT